CATCATCATCATCATCATCATCATCATCATCATCATCATCATCATCACATCTCATCATCATCATCATCATCATCATCATCATCATCATCATCATCATCATCATCATCATCATCATCATCATCATCATCATCATCATCATCATCATCATCATCATCATCATCATCATCATCATCATCATCATCATCATCATCATCATCATCATCATCATCTTCCTTCTCCTCCTCTTCCTCCTCCTCGTCGCGGAAGACCCCGTGGCAGGCTGCTGTCTTTGTTGGCGTGCCTGCTGCATCCACCTCAGTGATCCTGGCCAGCCCCATCCTGCCCTGACCTCCTCACGTCTTGGAAAAACAGAACATCTCGACAGCAACTTGGCCTCGGGCCGGGCCGCCGAAAAACAAATCAGGATGAAAACAATTCAGGAAGTACAAAAACAACTCCGGATGTAAACAAAACAAAAAAACGTCACCATATCTGGGTGGGTTCAGGACCAGTGAGAATAACACCCTGGCCGAGCAAAGAGGGTGTAGCACCAGTCCTGGGCCCAGGATTGGCCGTGGCCAGGATCAGTGAGGTGAGACGCTCCGACACGGGGCCCAAAAAAACACCCCGACGCAGACCTCCGCCGCCGTGGTTTCTTGAAGGGTCGAGGATCCAGGTATGGGAGGTCTTCAAAGCCAGGGGGGCCCAGAGCACCCAGACACGGATGCAGACCTCCAACGTCGTGATTGCTTCACTGATCGAGGATCGAGCTTCGAAGCTGGAGGATCGCTGCCCGAGCCCCGCCGAACCTTTCCCCGAAGGGCGATTTTTCGCTCCACGTCCGTCTCTGGCGGCCCCGAGGCGCCGAGAGCGGCCGCCGCAGTGGGAAAACAATAACCAGAAAATGCACGAGCTCCAACGCAATCAGGACAACCTCCTAACCCTACGGGAAAGAGGAGGAGGACGACGACAGCGAGGAGGAGGAGGAAGAGGAAGATCTGATCGGACACTTCGGGCCCGCAAGGCTAGGGCTGTGAAGCAGTGGGAGTGGGGGAAAAGATTCTGCAACAACGTTGCATGGCCCCTATCGCACAATTCTCCCTGCCAGACAACACTGACCTTCGGCGACAGCCGCAGCTGTCCACGGCTCCAACATCGAGTGACGCCGCCTCGCGCCGCAAGGGCTGACAGCCGCCCTCCTTGGAGAGCGTTTCTTTATGTTCGGCGATGACGGGCGTCAGGGGGGGAGGGGGGAGGGCCAGGGGGGGGTATGACGTAACGCCCCCCCCGCCGTGTGGTTCCGGCACCGCAGCCGCGCCCGCGCGCGCGACGCGACGAGCGACCAGCGACGAGAGACGCCGCAGCCGCGCCCGCGCGCGCGACGCGACGAGCGACCAGCGACGAGAGACGACGACGACGACGACGACGACGACGACGACGACGACGACGACGACGACGACGCGAGCAGCATGTAGGTGGCGATATTCCCCACTGCGCCTGTGTACGCCACAACGCTCGCGTGCAACACAGCGCGCGCGTGTATACCACAGCGCCTGCGTACACCGCAACAACCGTGTGCAACGCAGCGCCTGTGTATACCAGAGTGCTTGCGTACACTACAGCGCTGGTGTACATGTGTACACCGCACCTACCACGTACAACGCAGCGCCTGTGTACACCACGATGCTTGCTTGCACCGCAGCGGCTGTGCACGCCAGAACGTGTGTCTACACCACAACATCCGCGTGCAACGCAGCGCTGGTGTACACCACAATGCCTGCGTGCATAGGACAGCTAGAAGGAGCAGGTACGTGAGGATCTGCTGCGGACAACTAGACGCCACGCCAGGAAAGTGCTGATAATCGAATGCGACGCTCTTCCGTCCTTACTCCTCCTCCACCTCCACCACCACCTCCTCTTCCTCCTCTTCTTCCTCCTCCCCCTCCTCCTCCTCCTCCTCCTCCTCCTCCTCCTCCTCCTCCTCCTCCCCCTCCTCCTCCTTACCCCCTGTCGTGCGGGTTGGCGTGACAGCGCACGTGCGCATCTCAGCGCGCACCGCAAAATGGTCTATTGAATCGGTCCACCTAATTCTCGGACGGCCAATTTACCTGGAAAATCCTGGACGCAGATGGGAGGAGTTAGGGTGATGCGGGCGGACTCGGGGGGATTCGTAGATTCCAGCGGCGCTCCGTTGTCCATAAGGATTATTTCATACTGTTTTCTGTAGAGTCCACAAGCGCTCCACTTTGTCATAAGGATTTGTCCCAACATTCTATATACAACACTGGTGTTCTGTTGTGCACGGTTGCTGTGGTGCACACAGGCGCCGTGGTGCACACAGGCATTGCAATACACGGAAGCATTGTGGTGTACGCTGGTGCTGTGTTGCACACGGCTGATGTGTACGCAAGCGCTGTGGTGTACACAAGAGCTGTTGTGCCCGCAGGCACGGTGGCACAAAACTGACGCTGTGTTGCACGCGGTTAGTGTGGTGTACATCGGCGGTGTGGTGTGCACAGGCGCTGTGGTGCACGCAGGCACTCTGGTGTACAAAAGCGTTGTGGGGCAAATCGCCACCTACATGCTGGCGCTACCCGTCCTCCGTCATTCGCAGGCATTCCCATACGCCGCCGGCGCGAAACGTGACGTCATCGCCCCCTTCCACCCCCCTAGATGATTGCCGTCATCGGCCCGGAATAAGAAACAGGCTTCAGCCGCGTCCGCGCGCACGACGACTATGGGCGACGAGCGACAAGCCACGGGAGACGACGACGACGACGACGACGACGACGACGACGACGACGACGACGACGGCGACGGCGACGACGACGACGACGACGACGACGACGACGACGACGACGACGACGGCGATGACGACGACGACTGCGGACCAGACTCCTATGCGGATTCCTACGCGGACACCTACGCGGATCCCAATGCGCACGGCGGCAGTGCCCGGAGCACACTGGGGGGGGGGGGGGGGGGCGTTACGTCATAGAGGGCGGGGGGGGGAGCGGGGGCCATGACGCCCGTCATGCCCCAAGCGAGAAAGAAGCGGTCTCTTGGGAAGGACTTGGCGAGAAGCCTGGCTGCGGTACTTGATGCAATGCAAGATGCGGGGGGGGGCGGAGTCTGAATCCCACCAGCCCTCTGGGCGTAGGTGGTCTAGAGCAGATCCTCTTCCACCCCTCCCTCTTCCCCCTTGGGGAGGGGTTTACCCCTCCCCCTACCCCCTCCCCTGGACCTGGACGGGGGGGGCCGCGGGTAGTTAGAGCGTCCAAGATGGCCCAAGACGGCTCCAAGAGCGCCTCAGAGAACCCAAGATGAGCTCCAAGATGGCTCAAGATAGCGCAAGATCGCTCACGATGGCTCCTAAGATGGTTCCAAGAAGCCCAAAGACGGCCCCAAGATAACTCCAAGTGGCCAAACAGCTCCCCAAGGAGGCCCCGAAGAGGCCAAAATCGTCCCAAAACCTAAGGAAAATCAATGATTTTTGCTTTCTCGCCTTTTCGCTTCCGATGGCCATCCGAGGCCTGGAGATGGCTCCAAGATGGCCCAAGAGGGCCCCAAGAGAGCCCCAAAAGAGCCCCAAGACGGCCCCAAGAGCGCCCAAGAGCACTCCAAGAGCGTTCCAAGAGGGGTCCAAGAGGCGATTTTAGGGGCTTCCGAGGGGGGACGCTAATTAAACCCCCCCTCTTGTTTGATCGACTCCCTCCAAGATGGCCCCAAAAGCGCCCCGAAGGCTCCCCAGAGCGCCTCAAGAGGGTCCCAAGAGGCGCCCAAGATGCCCCAAGGCGCCCAAAAAGCCCTCCAAGAGGCCCTCAAAAGACCCCCAAGAAGCTCCTTCCCCTCCTCCTCCTCCTCCTCCGATTCTTCCTCCTTCTCCGTCCTCCTCCTCCTCCTCCTCCTCCTCCTCTTCCCCCTCCTCCTCCTCCTCCTCCGACGACGACGACGACGACGACTCCTCTTCCATCCTCCCCCTCTCGGGGTCTGTGACAGCTTCCCCCGCCCTTTGTTATTCTGCATGCTCCCCGACTTCCCTGATCACCTCAACTCCCCTGAGCATCGTTTCTGGATGGGCTGGTGGGGATACGCGAAGCGTCAACAATTTCCTGCCACCCCCAAGGAAATGAAGGACAGTCACATCGGTCGTTTCCCCAGTCACTGGTAGAGCTCCACAGTAGTCCATAGTGAGCTCTTCATTATCTGCCATAGTGCCACAGCCATATCACGTTCCTGCAGCTCAGGTACTTCTCGCAGAGCCGTGTCTTCACTGAAGAGCTTAAGAGCGGGACGTTGAGCATAGCCATCGCAGCGCCCTTGCATGGCGAC